ACATCTCTTAATTGCCATCAAATGTAAATATTAACCAAGACTTATCTCGTAGTGGTCAAGGTTATGGTTGTTAAATATGCTAAGGCTCAATTTATATTGCTGCGTAACGGAATGGAAGCAAATTTTTGTACCCATGGTATAACTAACTTTATGTCAATTTACAAACTAAATACTAGCCGAAATCTCGCGCAGTTTCGGGAATTTCCGCACCTACCGTATAGTATTTAGCTTATACGTTTAACAATTGCCATAAAGTGAATTATGCTATGTAAAATTCGCTTCCGTTACGCTGCAAAGCAAACTGAACCTAAAGAGTACTAGTCTGTGATTCTAATGTAGCTTAAAATCGTCCGAGTTACTCTGTGTCATATAGCATAATCTCTTTACCATCATCACCATCATCATCATCATCATCATCATTATCATTATTATAAATGTAAAGAAGCAGACCTTCAGTTATCGATATGGTGCTATGTCCATCTTTTTTCGTAATGATAAAAAAGAGAACATAAGTGGCGCCAAGTAAAACATTTTACTTGCGTTTTTACTGCCTTTCCACTCGTAGATATTTACATAATACAGGGTGAATTCATTGCGTGCGAAGCCATCGATCAGACGTCGAGTCTAGTTCAAAGTGATCAATCCAACAGGTCTCAGAGCGAACGTTATCTCAGAAAATTTCCAGCAATTACATAGAAGCAATAAAAATCTTGTAACAGTAACATAGGCTGTTATAAAAGTTGTGGAAACTTTATAGTTTAAGAACTTTTTTCACATAAAACACTCGTTTTATACATAGGTTCAATTTACATTACCGCGGAACGGAATAGATACGAGTTTTTCTAATCACAGATAGCATAATGAACTTTATGACTTTTGTGTAACGTACAAACTATAGATACGAGTCAAAAACGGATTACGCGTTTTCCGGAGAATTCTCGAAAACTCCGGAATTCCCGTAGTTACTGTATTGTGTATAATTTGTACTTTAAACAATTGACATAAAGTTCATTTTGCTATGGTAACAAATGACATATTTACATTTCCGCAGAAGGCAATGCCTTATGCGGCAATGTAAATTGAGCCATAATAGTGTTTGAATCCGAACGCTGACTGTAAAATTTATTCACTGGGCAGCGCAAAACACATAATATGACGTTACAGTTATCATCAATTGATTTCATTATTTAAAAACTCTTCCTTAGTCTTATCTTCATCACGTTTTTAATCTATTGTGTAACGTGCCTACAAACTATACACGATACATTAACAGCGGGAATTCCCGAGTTGGCCAGAGAATTCTCCGGAAAACGTGTAACCCGTTTTTGACTCGTATCTATAGTTTGTACGTTACACAACTTAGTCTTATCTTGACGACCTCGGCGCGCGGCGGACAAATGGTTGGCTATGTGGGCGCAGCTAGACGAGGAGGTCCCGGGTTCTATTCCCGGTAAGATCAATTTGGGAAATGAACTTTTCTAAATTAGAATGTTCTGGGTGGTGCCCCGGAGTGAATTCCTTTGCTCTGGTACAGGTAGTAGTGTAGTTATTTGACACGTTAGTGTTATTATTCATAGCATATCTCTTAACTATAGTTAACACGCATAGGTCTAATTAATTACTAATACAAAGATCGAATACAAAGATAACCTGTAGGCAGGACATGAACCTGCGACCACGCTGCACCGTAGCATTGCTCTACCAACTGAGCTACAGGTCGAGTCAGGTTCAAGCCACAGTCGAAATAATTTTTCTTTGTGTTCGGTCTTTGTATTAATAATTATAACAAACTAGTGGAGTCATTTTCGACGGACGGATTTTTAGACGGTGGTAAAACATCGTGAAATTCAATAAAAAAGAAAAGTCAATAATACACACAGGTCTATAAAAGAATAAGCCATGAATAAGGAATAAGGTTATGCGACCTTCTTGCTACCAAAAGATTTGCCTTATTATTACTGGTTTTTTAAAAATACGTTTTTCTGGCAACAGCCGCCTGTGGATAGAAAATCAAACAACCACTTAAGGCATAGCAGTGGTAATAAGCAGGTGATAGAATCGGCTGGCTTGTCATTATAGTGCGATTAATTTGTCGTTGCACAAACACCGGCGACTGGCGACTGCGTTGCTATTTATTTTACGTCATCCGATCTAGTATTATGCCGTTTCCTACGCCAATAAAAGTGATTAGTATGTCCGGGAACAGTTATTGATTGGGTTATTTGTAAAAGTTGTATAAAGTTGTGCATGGATGTTTGAGTGATCTAATGAAGTATTCTTTGTTATAATTATTAATAAAAAGATCGAACAGTAAGAAAAATTCCTTCGATTCGGCTAGATTTAAACTTGAACCCACAGCATATCGTGTCTGACGTTATCCCAACTGAGCTACGGAACGAACCAGCAGATCTTATGAATTTTTCTATGTGCTTGTAGCAGATCTCTGTTTTTATTACACAATAAAAAATAAATTCGAATTAAATATGAACTTAAATATTCTTTATTAAAAACAAGAACTTTCATTCCATCGATTTCAATTACTTTCTGACATTTTCTTTTAAAAACTAGTATTTTACGTTATCCACATTCACTCTCATTCCTTTCCTTTCCAAAGATATAGGACACTAACAATAATAATGTATTACATAAATTGTAATGTATAAAAATACTATTTGCTTATAAAATTTTATAGGAAAAAAGTACTGGAAAACAACATTATTTACAAATAAATAATACAAACAGGGAAATAAATGAGAGGATAGGGGCGAAAAGACGCTAATTAGGAGTTGAGGTAGATTCTTTGACAAGCCGTTTGAAGGATTCAAATAAGTCAAATAGGTTCAGTGTGAGGATTCCACCGCCGATTAGTAGACATGAGTTAGAAGATCCGACCTATAACATTGAGAACACATTTCACATCTCATTATTTTATTTACGTCATATTGTTCGGCCGTTGGTCCACAAACCAGCGCAATTTGTTTTTCGAACTCGTCGTCAATATTTGTATTATCAAGAATACTAAATAGGTATGTCAAATGTCTAAAGCTGATCACTTTTCATCTAGTGGACTATTTCATTATTTGCCGATTGGCAAATAATCCGAGAATATTTTTATGATAATTAAAAAGTCCTACCCCACACATAACGTATACATTGCGCTCCCTGTGTATAATATCGCTGATAGGATCGATCTGTTCCACTGTTCTCTGAGTGAATTTAAGGGTGATGGTGAAATTACAGGTACTAGTCAACTTACGTGGCAGTGCCCCTCAGACCTTTCCGATTTAAAGCTCTGAGTGGCACTGCAACTGTTATGGACAGGCGTGTAGCTTACCATGAGGCGCACGACTTGTTCGTGCCGGCACTTGGTAGTATAAAAAAAAGGAATTCACAAAGATAGCGCTTTATATTTTATGTTACAAGTAGTAATTTCGACCTCGGTCACCTGTCGGTTTGCGGCCAGGGCGCTGGATGACGAGGTCCCGGGATCGATTCCCAGCAGGATGAATTTGGGGAATGATCTTTTTCTGGTCTGGGTATTCTGGATTGAATTTCGTTGCTCTGGTACTCACCGTACAGGTGCCCTTAGTTTGAGACTAGACAAATGCCCGCGGGACACATCGTACCACTAAGCAAACCACTGGTATTGTGGTGGGTATTTTTTAAGTACCTATCGCGTGGTGTGGCTGTCTGGTATATTAATATTATTATTAAATTTGCGGGTCTAAAGTATCATGTTGATAACAACAAAAAATAATAGATTAATTTTTGGACATAAATAAATATTTTTCATATGGCTATAAACTAAAGGCATTCCTTGAGGTTTTTATTGGCTTAAATAACTATACCACGATAGCAGTCTATGTTGGTCAACTGCCGAACGTCGTCTCCCCAAAGTCCTTAAAGCTGAACCAGGAGAAGCTGCATTAAATTCAATTTAAATCGTTTCTTCTATCACTTTTTAAGATACTCGAAAAAAAGGAACATGGTGGTGATATTTACAAATAAGAAAAACGTTTGAATATTATTAAAAAAGAACTTTTTAACTTATTTGGGATGCTCGCTATTCGCCGTACTTATCTGTGCTGTTTTCACGTCTGGTGCATCCTGGGCAAGAACAGGTGAGTGAGTACTTTTACGCCGTTTGGAAACATAGAGTATGCCACCAATACGTTAAGAAGACCTCAGTTTATAAATAAATATGAACATCTCTGGGTTTATTTTAATTTAATTAGAATGTAAAGGTAAGGATGCTGGTGAAATTACAGGCATATGGGACTTGTCAACTTATGTCTTAGGGTAACGAGCGCATTGGCAGTGCCCCTAAGATCTTTGCGATTTAAAGCTCTGCAACTATTATGGATAGGCGTGTCGCTTATCACCAGGTGGACGTCTTATTCGTCCAGTCACTTGGTATTATAAAAAAAAGTAAAAAGGGTGATAAAATGTTGGGAAAACGATGAAGGAGGCCAGCATATTCACAAACCTTTTTGCTACAGGAGACACGGGCTCAGTAATAAGACGTACTATGTCATACCGCATTATTTTGTCTTTATAAACAGGTAGGTATGCCAGGTAGTATATTAGGTATAATTAACTACATCGTTAACGAACTGATTAAATCAAGTAAAAGTACTAAAATAATAACTATCTCACCAAAATTGGAAGTGGTCTGGAAAGCTGTCCCTGTTTCAATGTATAAAACGGGCGTGATGGGAAAATTATCTACATTGCAAAGCGGTTTGTTACAAATACATTACGTGTGAAAGTTATCAATCTAATTGATTCTATGAAAAAAATGGTAGTCATTTAGTGGTGTTTGTTTGTTAGATTCAATGCAGAGGGCGCTATGCTTTTGTTTTGTAGTATTTCTACTTGAAACTAGATGGCGCTGTCTTACCTAAAGAAATTTGCGCTACAGAATATTAATATTATATATATTGGTGTACAACACAAGTTCTATTAAATATTTTGTGATATAGAATTAATTTAGTACTTACCATACATTTTCCCTGTACACAAATAGCTCGGAAACCAGGTTTGGTGCATGGAGTACCATCGGCTACCAGGGCCAGGGAAGCGTAGAAGTGTTGTCCACGAGGACGGCAGTTCAGCGTACACGGAGCATTCCCTGTAATTAACATTGATTTAGGACCTCTACAATTATAAAAATGAATGTTTGTTTGTCCTCTATACGTTCCGTCATTCACCGGATTGCGATCAAACTTTTGTGTATTGTTATCCCCACACACCGCACACGTGAAAGTATCTGAAGTATTGGATCCCACTATACTGGGTTTGTACCGGTCTCCTCTAAGCAGCCGGTTACGGCCAGTTTTTGCAGAGCTAAACGAAACTTTTTTCTTTCAGTGGCATTGCAACGCCGGGTACTTCTAAGTAGATTGCTTGCATATGTTTTGTTTGTATTTCTAAAAACAGAATTATTTGTAAATAAAAATAGAGCTACCCTGTTGTTTTTTGTGGCTACCATAGAAAGCGACAGAAAGAAGAGTTTAATTGAATTTAATGCAGCTTCTTCCGAGTCAGCTTTAGTGGAAAAACCTGTGATCATTTTGTTGAGTTGAGTTGACCATCACAGACTTATGTAGTGATGTAGTTATTTCAATGCCTCTAGTTTATGGCTATTTGGAAAGTACATGCAGGACGTCTACGGCCTGCTGTGCTGGTTATTTAAAAAAAATTGTTTTGTATACCAACAGACAGACCAATTGACAAGTGGTTGCCGCCTCTTACAAGCATTTTCGACATTCAGAAACCACATTTAACATCGCAAATTCTGGCAAGCCGTGGAACATTAAATCTAGCCTTCTGTGTCTCAGTGATTTTCAGGTAAATTTTTTGTACTCAATTTTGGTGAAATATTTTATTATTTAATTACTCGAATATATCATCGTGAAATATTAAAGAATATTTCAGGTTACCACACTGGAATATTAAATAAAGGTTCATGATGATATTCTATAAATATTTAAATAAAAAGAAATTATTACCAAAATTGAGTACAAAAAACTTATCTGAAAATCAACCGTCTGAGATTGCGATTATCCCTTTCTTTCAATCAAGATCATGCAGTGCTGATTTGCCATTAACATAAATAGGGATGGGGCAGTTACGGGGGTTCTATATAGATAGAAATTTGTACCATCACTTCGGTATGTCGAAGGAGATTTTAGAATAAAACGGTAATTTTCAGGTAAGTTTTTTGTACTCAATTTTGGTGACAATGTTTATTGTTTAATTACTCGAATATATCATCATCAAATATTAAATAATATTTCAGGTTACCACTCTGGAATATTAAATAATACTTCATGATGATATTCTATAAATATTCAAAGAAAAAGAAATTGTCACCAAAATTGAGTATAAAAAACTTACCCGAAAATTACCCAAAAATATCTATTTACCATCAACGTAAGGCACCCAAGTGTAGAATCGTCCTCGAAACGGCCTACGGTCGTAAATGGCACATTGTTCGGCTCTGGAGTCTTTCGCTGGTCCGGGACATGGCTGAAAATATAAAAACAGTGGACGAATTTTTCAGTAGCAGTAGAGCTAGTTGTGAAAGAGTTCGTCCAGGCAAGTACCTTTACCTATTTCTGGCGTCAAGCAGTAATGTGAGCGTTACTGCGTTCCAGTTTGAAAATAAGGTGGTTACAGTGGCTGGTGAAATTAAAGGACTTGTCAAGTTATGTCTCAGGGTGATGTGCGCAGTGGCAGCGCCTCTCAGAGCTTCGCGATTTAAAGCTCTGAGTGGCACTGCAACTGTTACCGACAGGCGTGTAGCTTACCATAAGGCGTGTAGCTTACCATAAGGAGCTTGTTCGTCCCATCACTTGATATTATTATTCAAAAAACCTCATTAACCCATTTAATTGTATTAACGTAATAATAACACTCGCAAAACCAACATACAAAATTTATAAAAATATCCATAAACAAAACCTATAATTACATTACAAACAAAAAAGAAAATTGTATTAATAAAACTGTTCATCTTACTTCACTAATAAAAAATGCACGAGATAATAAATTTCCTACTGACGCACAACGTGTGTTGAATAGATCCATCTCAAAATGAATTGAAAATTTATTTAAATTATTACTCGGATGCCAAGTGAACGAAATTTCATAAAAGTATAGGTACTAAATAATCCACCTGTAGCCTAGCTCCATCCAGCAACTTTCCCTGACTAGCGATAATAACCTGGAGATACTGGTACCTTAAACCTTTTCTGACAACCGATAACAAGAAGTACATGTATCTGTATCATATATTTTAGGCTTTATTAAGCAGGGCGCTACAATAAACTTGGTATTTAGGTAATGTAATACGAATGTTCTTACCGCGGTATTGCACTCGTGATATCTTCTCCCGAGACCAGGACAGTCGATGTCGTCGCCCACCATTCTCGCTCGGCGCGTATGTTCTGTACTTCTTACTAGCTTTCTTCTCTTTCTGCTGCGCCCCCATCTGGAATTGAGAAAAAGAGACATAAATTTAACATTTATAAATACTATTGAATAGAAAAGTAGATGTTTAAGAAGTATTTAATACCATTAAAACGGTGTCGGCTGTGAGACATAACCTCTAAACCCATAAATCCCCGACCCTTGAATACGGAATACATATTTACGGAAAAAATAGGTATGGTGATGGTATCTACTCAAACGGCTCTAGCACATACGGAGAACCCACGGCGGCAACATATGGCTTGTTCCGTACCAGTTCAGTACCTCAAGTATGTCGTAGCTAAACGATTTTAAGCATTATAGTCGATAGGTGCCTCTTTTATTGGAGACATTTTTTTTTTCAAAAAAGTTACTACAGAGTCATATCAGTATCTAGATATAGACAAGCAATCACGGAACGTAATTTTCTTTTAATTTGTGCCATTAGTGTCGGTAGTTCTTGATATGTTTTAAATTTAAATTACATTTTATATATTTTTTTAAAATATGAAGCATTCAGTGTTGTACAGAGTTAAGTCGTAGATCTGTTCGTTTTATTATTAATTTATATTTATTTTATTATTGTATTGCATTTGAAATTTTGTAATTTAGATTTTTTTTAAGATAACAGGGATGTCGTCTTGACGGAAAAGTTGTTGGTTTGTAATCAGGTAATTTCAAATTGGAGTCATTCGACAACACACAGTTGAAATGAGTGACTCATTTTAATACTATTTAAATATTATATACATTTAATTAATAATAACTTTTTAATTTAAATTATAAGTATTCGATCGCAATTGATATTGATATGTAAGAATATTATAGGTACACGTAAAAAACACAAATTAGAAAAAAATGACAATCGAAAAACAAAAAGCAATCGATAATAATTACGTTAGTTCTAATTTAAAATATGTTAAAGAGTACTAGAACTATGGTAAGAAATCTCTTTGGTGATTTAAAAAATACCTTTAAGGATAGGTCAATGCGTACAAGTGAATGTATTTAATGATATTATAATTTTTTGTTTGTGGCATAATTTCAATAAGTACACATACACATTTAGTGGAACAAAAACAAAGTGAGATTATACAAAAGTAAGCTTTATATTTAAATAACTAATCGACATATCAAAATAGCCAAATTATTTTGGGGAACTTACTAGGGTTTCGTTAAATATGATAGTGTGTGTATAGATTTATTACTTAGCTATAGAATGCACTTTCTACACTATATAGTCAGCATGACTATCATTCCCGGATTTATATATATAGTGTTTGAAGTGAGTCGCACAGGTCTCAGAGCTCACCGTCACCGCTCACCTCGAATGATATCAATAGGTAATGGATGTGTTATTATACATCCAAATTAAATTAAAATATTTGTATTGTCGTGAACACAAGTGTTTGAAAATTTAGAGACCTGTAGTTAGTATGTAGACAATAACGCAGATTTCATAGAATAAATCGGTGTCTGAAGCCATAAAAGTGTTCCCTACCCGAAAATGGTTGTATTATGATCCTATCTATTCAAGCATAAAAAAGTTATGGGTTAATTTCTTCTTTTCTTTAGTATTGCCTATGTATGTATATACACTTCCGGACACATAATTCGAGCCACCATGCATTTTCAGTATTAATTGCCCTAAGTTTAAACAATGTTTGATTGATCAAAAACTATTGTGCAATTTTGAAAATTTTACACTAAACGTCTTTTTAATAAGTCCTTGTTGGGAATTTGGATTTGCAAAACCGGGGAAAACTTTACTTCGATAATAATACTATTCGAGTTCTTAGGTTTTCGCGATTGTTACACATAGGAAATGAAACTATTTTTCCGGATCTAAATCGCAATTTTTCAAGCGATTTTTCAAGCAAACCGACAAACAAACAAACAACAAACAAACAGTCAACCGCGACCATGGGACCTGTAAAGGGCCCGAAACGTCGGTTTGTTTGAAAAAACAAATGTACGCAATTTAAATCCGGAAAAATAGTTTCATTTCCGATAATACTATTTTTGATTCTAGCCCTTTAGGACAAAAATGTGAGGTGGCTCGAATGATGTGTCCGGGAGTGTATTTTGACCGACTATTACTTTGATTGCTCGTTTTTATTTAGACAAGAACAATAACCGTACAAAAGAGACAACAGTGAAACATGAATGTTCCACGAGCCTGACTCTGTTGAAAAAGCTCGTGGTTTGCATCCTTGGTATAATGAAACCATACGTCAAAAGTGCTTTTATCACATGAAAGTCATAAAAGTAATACGAACGGCGTGAAATAAATTAGGCATAGGTATATGAAATATTTGTAACGCTCTATTTAAGAGTCGTTACACACGGCGAACTTTAGCAGCGACGCGCGATTGCATCGTTGCAAACGCGCGACTGCATCGATACAAAGCCGCGGTTGCATCGATGCAAACGCCTATTAATCCCAAGTGTAGCGATGCATTTGTATCGCTGCTTGGAATCGCGCGTCTGGTTAAGGTTACCACTGTTTTGCACTGGTTAACGACTGCACCGCGTTTATAAGTAAATAATGTTTAACCTCTCTTAATGTGAAACCTCTCTCCAACAAAGTTGTAATTTTGCATGTGGCTTTATTACACAAGGGCGGTATTCCGGTATTGACGTAATTATCTTGCACATTTATTGACGTGAACAAATTTCGACTTGGAAGTACCTACACCTCGACATGCACCAGCGCATCTGAGTAATGAAACCGCATTGTTTCAGTTCATCAGTTGAAGCGGCGGGGTGCCGTTTGACCCTTAATTAAAATCATCTAACGTATCATACTTACTCGTATTACAAACGCCTACGTGTTCTTATTATATTGATTGAATATTGATTTTCAACTGATTTGTTTTTAATTTCACACGGTTTAAAACTGTATCGGGTGTTGTACATTCCATCAGTTATACATAATCTCAAGGTTTGTTAAGCAACCTTTGCTTTTGAGAGGAAAAGAAATTATAATTTTTTGTAATGCACAGAGTTATGGAATTGTGTACAAAGTCCGCCATTGTAACAGATAAATAAGATTATACAGAACGGTTTTTAAAAATTGGGAAAGCTTTTCATGAAAAAAAAAATGGTTAGCCATAGTTTTCTAATATTTATCTACAGATTTAAGTAATTTAAGTTAAGTTATTATATTGTTTTTGGTAGAGTAGTACGAGATTATTCTATGTGATTGGATCTATAACGGCGGAAACTGCAAAACTGTCATGGAATAAAAAAAATGCTTTTTAGGTTTTTTATTTATTGCCATATGTCTTCTAGACAAATTGTCTTTTAAACCTATTTTAGCCTGATGGTATCCGATGATTTTTGTAATTTAATGAAGCTATTTATGACACACCAATGACACCATATTGGATTTCTTAAAAAAACTTGGCTATGCCATGTCGACGTTATACATACTTAGAATCCAATGATGCCTTAAGCTCTGCGAGTAAATATCTTAGTAGAAGTACATACTTTGAGAAATCACAACTCTCGTTTTGGTTTCTCTGTAGTTGGTTAATAATGGTTGGTGCAAAATAATGTCACTATTTTGTTAATCTCCATTGTCCATGTTTTACTTATATATGTCTATGTATGTTTTGTCTGACTCTGTTACTAGAAGCGTGCGCGTGAGTTGAAACTATCGTAAAACGATCGAGGAAACAGTTGGTTCCGCTCGTAAAATCTGTAGTAAAACAAATTGGAAAATTATTTCATAGCAACGAGTTCCTCCTTGGCTTGTGGCCAATTGAATAATTATAAAATACATGCATATTATAAGTTATTTTGTACTATACAATAATATTCAAATTTTAAATAAATATATAGATGCCTTATTTTCTCAAACTCGTATCTTATAAAGATTGATTATTCAGAAGATGGCAAAACTTTCTATTTATTTTAAATTACATATCAAGGGTGTTTTTTTTGAATTTTTTATTTTGAATTTGAATGCATTACTTTAAGAATAGGTCAAAGCCAGTGTGTGAATATGAAGGAAATGCAAAAAATCAGCCTGCAAAATTTGTATATACAATCCATTTTTTGCATTTCAGTAACTTTGTCCTGTATGATATGAGTTTGAGAAAGGTAGCCGACCAATTATACCGGTAACAATATTACGCGTGAAATTATTAAAGTTGCTCTAGCTTTTACACAGTGTTATTACAAAAGAGGTCAGATTTGACCTTTCTTAAAACTGTCAGTCGCCGCTGTTCAGTGACTGAACTTACGCTTACGCGTAACTGTTGCAAAATATCAGCATAATAAGTAGAAGAATACCGAGGTAGAGCCCTGTAATAAGTGATAATATTGTAGTATGACAAATATATAGCATTAATTCTTTGCCATAATAGAAAAATTTTATTGAGTACGGTACGGTGATCATTCTACAAAGTGGTATCAGTAATAACTTTGTAAAATAATCACTAAAAGTGAATGTTAGTTTTCGAAAAATTTCATAAGGTTATAAGCCCATTTTGACAAACGTTATAATAAAGAATGAACAATAATGTGTATAGCAACACCAATTGCTTGGTCTCAAACTAGAGAATAGAATTGCTACGCAAAGGACCCAGGTTCGATTCCCGGGCCGGGACAAATATTTGTATGGTTTACATTTATTTCTCTTGTAAGTTTTGGTATACGATTTACTATAATAATAATGTGCCAGACACCTGCACCAATTGCCTGGTCTCAAACTAGGGAATTCCCTCTACTATGAGTACCCGAGTAACGGAATTCACTTTGGGGCACTTTTCAGAACATCCAGACCAGCACTAATTTTAGAAAAGTCAATTCCAATTTAGTCCCACCGGGAATGACATCTGAAAAAATATTTGTCTGAAAAAAAAATTCAACGCATAGCAATCGCGAAAATCTAAGAACTACAATAAAAACAACATGTATTTAATTGCAGGCAACGTGCACATGGCTGTATATTAAGCAAGTTCCAAAAAGGCTACTTAACACCATTCCCTTTAAAAGCTTTGTTTATCATAAAGC